TGTTCCAATATTTGGTAAGAGTTTTATTTAGAAAATCAAATTTTTTAATATTTGTATTTTAGTGGTTTCACTAATTATAGTTGTATTTATATTTGTTTTAATGATGGTTTTTAGTGGTTTTCTTATTGATTTGAATAGTATTTTTTCATTTCTTCGATGGATTCAATGGCTTAGTGCTTTTCGATATGCAACTAATTTATTAACGATTAATGAATTTAGAAATTTAACATTTTGTTTATCAAATAATACACAGATTTGTCCAATTACAGGTGAAGAAATATTAAAACAACGTGATATTACCTATACAAATAATTGGGATATATGGAAAAATCTTCTAGCTTTATCAATAATGATTATTATGTTTTTATCTATAGCTTTTATTCAATTAATACGAATGAAAAAAGTCAAATAATACTATATTAACTTGATGTTTTTCTTTATTACATGAAATCATTTAGGAATACTTTGATAGTTGAATTTCTTTTATACTCTTTAACATTAAAAATAAATATATATACGCATATGATATTTTTTTATTGATGCTTAATGTACATATGCGAACATTGATTTATTTGAAAAGCATCAGCTGGTGAATCAATGATCTGTATAAAAATAAATATAAATGGATTTTTTTCTTCAATGAATATTGTCTTTTATTTGATATTATTTTTCTTATAAAGATGCATACTTATATATTTATATTTATTCTCTTGTTATCGAATGGTTTATTATATGGATATAACATAGATCATGGATTAAAATATAAACGTGATATTAATACAATTCTATCACGAATTGCTTCAATTGAAGAAAATGATGATATAGAGACTTCTATCAATTATGCGAATCAACAACAAAATGAAGATGAAGATGAAGATGAAACAAATCATCCATCTGGATATCATATCATTTCAAATAAATAACATTAACTCAAGAATGGAATACTATACAATGATTGATGATCATATAAATGTATCTAGTTTTGATTTTATTTTCATTGAGAATACATTGGTGATTGAATGTTTAATTAATGTTATCTCGTATTAATAATAATATTTCATTTTTTGGTTCTTATTTGAAGTTGTTTAAAATAAAAATTTAATATGTATCTTCATCTTTGTCGAAAAAAAAGAAAATAAAGTAAGATGAATTTTAAAAAAAATGGAGAATATTTATGAATAAGAATTTTGGATTTTTATTTACATCATCTAAATGTAAAAGATTGTTAGATGTACGATATCATTGATGAATATTCTGTTTCATTTGTTCCCAACGAGTAGGATTTGGATGTGTTTACGCTTGTAAATCTTTTTTACTCCATTCACATTCACACCCTACTTCTTTTATTTAGTTTTGTGTTGTTTCATTGTCTCACACTATTGTCTCTGTAGAACTTTGGTACTTTCTTCTTGCAGCATCAGAAGAGAAAACGATTATCCAATAAACTATGTGTTTCTCTAACGAGAGAACCTTACCAACTGTCCAATCGCTTTTTTAATAAGTCTGATATTTTCGGATTTCCGTACTTTCACCTATCCTCCTGTCTTTATTGTTCTAATTTTGTATATTCATTTTTAAATACCAGTGA